CCGGCCCGCGGGATATTCTCTTTCCTCTCCTGTCCCCTTCTGTCCGCGGTGGGCCGCCCCGCCCGTGCTCAGGGCCCAGGGCCTGGGGCCGGGCCTCGCCCTTCCTTTCTTTTCCCCGCGGCGGGCCCGAGAAGGGGCCCCGCCATCTCCCAGGCAGGTCCGAGAGGGATGTGTAGATTCATTCTCCTGTGGAGAACAGGTGGCCCCCCAAAGCAGGCCCTTTTTGCTCTTTGTATTTTATTTTGAAACTGTATTTAATGCTTTTATATGAAAGGGGAGGGGCGGGGAGAGCTGTCCCAGTCACCTTTGCGTGCAAATGTCTTATTTATTATGCGAGTATCAGAGATAAGCTGTGAGGCGGTGGAGAAAGGACTTAAAGGAGGGAGGGCAGGGGATGAGGGTCCCACACGTCCCATGCGGTGACTCCCGCGGCCCCAGCTCTGCTCTTCGCATAGGCCGGTTCTTTGGGTCTTAAGGCCTGAGAGTGGGGAGGCAGCGGCTGCCTCTGTGGGCGGGGAACAGCAAGGAGGAAGCCCTTCCCCCATCCCCGCCCCCCAGGCCAGAGCCCAGGGTTCAAGTGCCGCAGGCCCGGTCCCCTCGACTCTTCCTGATTTGGGAATTGGATTTTATACCACGGATTTTATAGCATTTTTATATAATTCAAGATTGTCAGTGTTGGAAAGACCTTGCAGAGTAACTAGTATCTGCCTCCATCCCTTTCACAGATAGGTAAGACGAAGCCCAGAAACTGAATGATCACACAGCCAGCTAGGAACAGTACAAAAACTAGAATAAAAAACTTCCAATTCAGTTTCTTTGCACTATATGACGCTGCCTCCCGATCTCTGGTAAGTCATAAAAATGTTCCCATCTGACCGACCGCAGGATGGCACGCGCTGGTGCTGCAGGCCACCCCTGCAGTTAGCTGTGACCTGGGGGCGCGAAGAAGGCACACTTCCCTGGAATGACTAAGGCAGGCCTTGCCACGCAGGCTCAGCAGGGAGGTGTGGGCAGCAGCCCTCTCCAGAACCTAAGTGGGTTTGACTGCTGCCTGGCCCAAGGCCTCCCCGTCCTCCCTTTAGGGCAAGGGCTCCGCCATTGTGTGCGTTGGTGGTGTAACCTCGGGGAGTCAGGCCTAGGGGGCATGGCCTCGCAGTTGACTGGAAAGTAAATAACTAGTGTGGGTGAACCTCCAGGCTTTTGAGACAGTATTATGAGCTTGAGACCAGGGATTATGGATGGCACCAGGCTGGGCACTGCCATTCTTTTACTTTCCTTCACACAAGCTGTTTTCAAATCTAGAATTAGTATTCTACCACTTTTGCTACTCTGCCTGTTCAAAAACAGTAGGCACATTGGGGCAGCCTGTTATATTCACCCAAGCCCGCTGCCGAAGTTCAGGTAAGCCAGGGCAGAGCGTGGGTTAGGAATGGTATTTCCTCTTGATGGGAGTGGAAGGTCATGGCAGCCCCAAGCACTCCAGTGGTTCTCCAAGTAGCCACCAGACCAGCGTTGTATTGGAACTAAAAGAAACGGAAATGATGAGGCCCCACTTCACTGCATCCACTGGGGTGGGGCCCAGCAATGTGTTTAGATGAGCCCTTCAATGATCACAAATGAAGCCCACTTCAATGCTGAGCACCAGCGATCTAGGAAGTGCCAGGGGGTGACTCCTGCTTTGGCTGGAGCCATGGCCTCACTGCCCAGGGCTCAGGGCGTCCTCATCTCTAGGTGTATGCCTCCTTGCCTCAGGAGTCTGACGTGAACAGGTGACGTTGCTTCATGAACTTTTTGTTAATGGTATGCTTGCTATTATGGCTAATATGTAAATGTTACTCTGAATACATATTTATGTACCATGTTAGTGACATTATTCGAACATTTGTATGCATATTTGTCAAGTTTGCATCAGTTACTATTTTTTTAAGTTTCAGCCTAAGTTTTGTAAGGTATGTTGAGTAAATTTTAAAAATCCAGCTTAAGGGGCAGGGCAGCCTTAGTTTTGGAGGAGAGTGAGTCCCAGGTGACAAGTTGTTTCAGCAAAGACCCGATGTATTTAGTTTCCGTTTTCCATGGCGATGGAGTGCATCGTGGCCATGTGTGATTCGGAGGCTGCTTCCTGTGTTCTGGGTGGGGACCCTCAGTTGGTGTGAGACTGAACGGGACGGCAGACCCCGCTGGCCCCTTCCACTCCTCATCTTGCTCCTGAGGCTCACCTCTTAGAGGGGCTCCTACTTCCTTTCAGAAGCCAAATGCACGTCCTTGCTGTACTGTGGAAGTTCTGCAGTCTTGGGCATCAATACTGGTATCAACTGTTAGTTGCTTTTAAAAGCCGCAGAAGTGGAGTGGGGGTGGGGCCAGTGGAAGCCTTGTTTGGTTCTTACTTTATTCAAACTGTGTATAAAGAATAAAGTTAGCAGAATGACACCAGACTTTTTTTCTTTTTAAGTTTTATTAATACCACATCAATTTAAAGTTTTACAGGAACCAAGATTCAAGCTCCTTAGGTGCTACTATATTTTAATGTTGCACGCACACACACGCACAGTTTCATTAATTTTTCATCTATGGGTTTTTCTTTTTAAAAAAAATTCCTGTGTGGCACAAAGATCTGCCCAATTATCTAAACACAGCACTAACAGAACAAAAGAGCTAGGGGTGCAGGCTTCCAGTGCAGACAAAGTCCTTTGGAGGGGAAGCCCAAAAAGGTCACCAGTGCACTGACTTCCTGGGAGGGCCAAGGATGGGGCTGGAGAATGCATTTTCTATGCCATGACATGAAATCAGTTGAAAATTTCAAAAGGAAAGGGGGCTAAGAAATAGAATGGAGTAAGGCAAGGATACCTTTTACCCATCTAAATTCCTAAGTAATTTCCCCCCAAAAGTAGAAAGACACTTTCCTTCTGCCACCTTCTACACTGCAGTGCTTTGGGACCATCAAAGATCATGGCCCCTACTTTGAAGTCACCAGTGCACATTCCCTCTGGATTAGCATGAGTTACACCTGAAGGAACTCACCCTGCCTTTCACGTTGACTGAATTTTCATGCTGGAAGGGGAGAAAGACACTTAGTCTCAAATGGGAAGCCAAGGTCCCCCACTTCCATGTGAGCTGTCCTGTTGTCCTTTAATTGTGCACAGAGCCCATCAACACCATCTGACCCTGCCGGTGGCCCTGACCTGGCTTCCGGGAACACACTCTCAGAAGGAGCACCGTGGGCCATGGCACAGGTGCTAGGACATTCTATGCGCCTGAAGAGGAAAGGAACCCTCAAAACATCACACCCAGCAGCCAGCCTCTGTTCAAACTGCCTATGAGCCACAAAACACGCTTCCCTACACTCATCTGTGTTCTCAACTACAGACACACACCATCTCCTCCCAAGCCAGCGGGCTGTGGCCCTCAGGGTAAAACGCTGAGCACAGGTTAGAGATGTAGCCTGTGAAGGGAGTAGGGAAAAGATAAAGAAAAGCCTTTGTGTTTCTGTAGTTTGCCTCTTGAGAATGTCCCCCTCCACGGACTGAGATAGGATCACAATAACTCAACAACCGAGGAGCCCACATGCAGGTTTTTTCCTCTAACAAGTTTACAGCAGTTTACAGCAGTTACAGACATTTGTTTCAGAATAAGAAAAGTACAACCATATTTATTAAACTTGAGGTGAGGTGGGTAGGGAAGAGGGAGGAAAGCACATTCAGGAATACGCTCCCAAACTAAAGCTTGGAACTAGTGTCCAAGAGGACCCACCACCACCTTCCCCAATGGCGGAGCCGCTCCTTCCAGGGCCGGCGGGAGGGAGCGGTGCTCACGGCAGGGCTACTGTAGGCTCCCGCTCCAATCCCACCGGCTGTTTCCGTTCTCTGGTAACCAGGAATTATTACTATCACCTATAAGTTATTCAGAGTTGAAAGTTTTATCTATAAGTGAAGAAGAGGAATATGAAGAGTAGCTGCTCACATTGTGGGGCAGGAAGAGGGGGTCAAGGGCTGCATAAAACCCCACAAGCTCATGGGAAGGAATCCCACTCTTATCCCCAGATAATTTCTTAAGTTAACCATCATTTCTTAACTTAAAAATAAGGGAAAAATTATGAGGGGCAGCTATGTAAGAAAATTACATAGCTGTGGAAACTAAAGAGAACCCAAGAGGGGTGTTTTATATTTTTCTCCTTTACCCTCCAATCTTTCCCCTTTCAAGCTACATCACCATTAAGGCTCCACCATCATTAAGGTATTGATTTTGCCTATTCAATTGATTCTGTCTTTATTCTCTTATGTTTTAAGATATCAGTCCATTTTTTAGTCCAATAATTCTTGTGCTTGATTCTGCAGGGAAAGGGAAAGGAGGGGGAAACACCACATTGGAAACAAAAAAGCTTGGAATGCAGGCTCAAGCTGACACAGAGCACGTTCCTTCATAGTACAAGTAACGACAGTGTAACTATTAAATGTTTTAGTAACTGTAGCATTTCTGGTTTCCATGTACTTATTCTGCCTTTTTCTTTGCGATTCCAGGTAGTTTTGCTTGGATCCTATTGAGGGGAGGAAAAAAAGGTAAAAGTAGCCATTAGTTCTAGGTTTTATTTTAACAGTGATGCTGGCGGGCAGTCCTAGACTCGCTGGACAGTGAAAAACCGCTCCCATTTCCGGAGGCTTCCTCTGGATGAAGAGTCTGGTGTTGGTCAAGGTGCGGGGTCTGCCAAGATCCATTCATTCCCTGCCGCTGCCACTAAGGCTGCTGCCTGCCGCCTCTTTCACTGCCAGGACCTCCTGGGTCCTTCATGGGGGTGGGGTTGTGGGGAGGGTTCGGGAGAAGAATAAGGAGGACCTGGGCGTAACATCTGCTGACTACACACTGGCAGCCCATTTCTCTGAAAATGCCTGCTCACCCGCTGGTGCCATAAAAGAAACCAGGACTCAGAGTCAAGGAGACATAGTAAAACACTATAGGAACTGGCAACAGTTCCCAGTCCCCTATCGGACACCAAAGCTGCCTTTTATTTTGTTTATTAATCCTACCAGACCTGAGGCCCTGAGCCTAACTGTCCCCTATACCTGGGCTCCTGAGCATTAAAGAGAAAAAACCAACATGATATAGAAAAATGTTAGTTACATGCAAACAAGTGGTTAGAATAAGATGGAACTTGGAGACATTGTAGAAAATAGGTCTACCTTTCATCTACCTTTTATCTAGCGCCAATATTTCACCTTTGTGTGGAAATTACCGATAAATCAGTACAGCGGTCAGGTAGGGTTAAGTGTCCCCATCACTAAGGCCATTCACACCCCGCAGCTAATGTCAAAACTGTTCCCTACAAGCGTTACATCCGGAGCAGGGGCCAAGTCAGCCAACACCACCAATTCAGGACATTAGGTTCAAAGCCAAGGAAGCAAGGATCGCCTTTCAAAATCCTGAGTGAACAGCAACTAGATACATATTTTGTGTTAACTGTCCTTGCCTGGTTTTAGCTCCAATGTACACCTAACAAGACCAGGTTAAGACCAGGTTAAGGTTTTTTTTTAAAAAAGAGATTAAATAATTTCTTGTAAAATCAAACTATTAACCAAGGTGCCCCCCACCCCCCGGGGTAAAAGTCACATTTCAGGGTGAAAAACTGGCACCAACATTTTACATCGGGGACAAAAAGTCATTGGGGCGGGGGGTGGGAGCACATGTTATGAGGAAATGTGGAACCTAAGCATACTTACTTCTCAACAATCGACTTGGTCTGATCACGCACGATGCCAACATAGTGATCAATCTGGGTCTTTAAGGAAGGAAAGTGACTTAGTTGTGGCAACACACAGATTAACAATTTTCCTGAAGGCAATGTTCTTTTCTCTAAGTGTAACTATTTTTAAAAAACACTATTGAATATTCTGGAAAATGAAAATAATGCCCAGCTTTTACAAGTGTTTTTAAAACTCCAGATTTCAGACTTTAAATTAAACCATAAACATCCCATATTCAGTTGCAGTAAAAACCACTAATTTCTTCTGCAGAGTCTTACTTGCTAGGTGTTTTCTTTAGAGAAACTGGACTATAATAGCATTTTCTGAATACTAGATAATGTATCTAATCTATTTCCTATAATCATAAATGTATTTTGGCTCCTGGGTAAGACTAATTCATTTAATACCAAAAAGTCTGCTGATGGATGACTTAATCCAAAAATAATAACCTCATAAATCTAGTATACTCTTTAGGCACCATTCCACAATGCAAACACCTGCTCAGACTGATGGAGTCCCATATTACCCTTAATATTTTCTTTTTAGATATGAGCTTTTATTTCTTTAAATATTTTTCCAACTTATTTTAACAGATAATGCAGCTATGTGATAAAAACACAAAAGGCACACAACTAAGCATAAAAAGTAGTCTTCCTGCCCTTATCTCTCCTAGACAGTTTGTCTACTAGAGGAAACCACTGCTACCAGTTTCTTACAGGCACCTGACTTATAAAGTCGGACTGCAGGAATGGTAGAGATTGCTCTGAACTCTCGTTACCTAAAAAATGAACTAAAACTCGTCACACATCAACTGGCATGATCTGACTTGAAGCAGGCCAAAGCTTACCTTGTACTTCTCATAGACAATTGGAACACTGAAAATGAGCAGTTCAGCTGCAAGACAGAATCATGGGACATGGCAAGTGTAAGTGTGAGATAGTCACAAAGTCTCAGGACTCAAGTAACACACAGGTTTTCCTCATGAAATACAGGGAAACACAGATCTCCAATATGAGAAATGTCTAGATCTCTCAATTAAGGACAGTTAGATACAGGTACATTGATTCTTATAAATTTAAGATCCCCATATGTAAATCAAATCTAGATGACTCTCCTTTGCTTCTAGCTGTTCTGATATTTAAAATTAGGACCAAATTAATAAACCTACAGCCACACAATATCTAGGTTCAAGGTCTCTATGGATGTTAGAGGCGGAGCCATTAGGAAGCAATGGAGCCATGCTGGGCATTCTCTTCGCTCTTAACTCTTACCAATGACTTCAAAGAGCATGGAGACATTTTCCTTGCCATCTTACCAAGAATCAGAAGGGTGATTCCATTGAAAACGGCACCAACATAGGTCATCAGCCACATGAAGACAGCCAGCTGTGAAGGCCAACATCAGGGGGTTAAGCAGGAATAATTATGACACAAACTTCAGGTTAGCCAATGCCATTTTCCTCTAGCTAGTTAAGTCTACATAAATTTAGTGATGTATGCCATAAATCATTTCAAAATAAAGGTTACCCCATTTGCACTGTACGTTTGAGGGTGGATAAGAGAATTCTGTAGTTCTCTTAGGCCCAAAGACTGTAATTGCATTTCTGTCGATTACATTATCCTGTTAGTTCTCCAGGTTCACGAGATACCTTCTCCACCGACTCCTGTCTTCATTTTTACAGGTTGATGGAGAGAAGCATGCAATTGTTTTTATCTGTGGAAACCCTACTTATTGTTTTTCCTCTGAAGTATAACCTAGTCTCTGGCTTTCCTTTTCCTCACCACCAAAAGCTCAAAGGGTAGCGGAACGAACCTTCAAGGAGTCAACTAGATCTTCCACCAGAAAGAGACGGATAACGAGCTTCAGGGCCCGGTTGACGTGCACCATGGCAGCATTCACATAGTTATGGAAAGCTTCTGAGGACAGAGTGATGTCTACATCCAGGTAGGATCTTCCAGAAGAAGAAACAACAGTCAGATATTTGACACGGAAGGAGAAGACCTCTTTCTGGGAGCATAGCCATTCTTTAGAGTGTGAAATTCCCCCACAGACGCACCTTAGAAATCTCTAGGGGCATGTTTTGCTGTCACGGATGGGGTGGGGGCACCACTGTCATTTAATGGCAGAGGCAAAGATGTCAGATGTCTGCGAAGTGTAAAATGGTCCACAAGGTGTTTTTCCTCACAGTTTTAACATATCTTGAATTTTCTAAAATTGTATTTTGTTTATTAAACTTTACTAAGTTTTTCCCCCCCACCATTTTGGAAAATCACATCTGTATTGTAGATTATACATGTAGGTGCCAAGTACCTGATGTTTTACTATTATTATTGTTTTTTGGTGTACTCATTTCCAAGCAATTATATATTGACTGGAACACATATTATTTTATTATACATGGCTATTTTGTCATTTCTTTATATTACAATTAGGATCTATTTTAAAAATTTTGTTTATAAATATGTTATTTATAAATTTCATTTCAAAATGATAAAGGAGGCATTATAAAATATTTGTTAAAAAAATATAAAGGAGGGGAGCTATTGAGTTTGACTGGGTTGAAAATTACAGAAAAAGAAACACCTGGTTCTGTTCCCAGAGGCACTAAGGACTCGAGATGTAAACATCTGCTTGTAACTTGTCATTCACGGAGGACTCTGAGTGCCTACTGAGAGCCACTCTGAGGTGCTGGCTCATCAGGAAAGATAAGGCTGCTTTTGCCTTAGAGAGCCTAGTCTTGTGGGGAAAACAGAGTAACAGGCATGTTTTTCTTTCCTATTTATTAAAAAAACATTTACCACCAAATATGAAAATTATAAAATTAATGCAACTTGGCAAAACACATTTTACAAATCCACAACAGTGTCATGCAAGAGACATGACATCTGAGCTTATGGCAAAATAATAAAATGTATTCACTCCTTCATTGAACAACTATTGATTTGTTAAAGCTAATTTGCAATAACTTTTCAAATGTCACATATAGTTTAAATTATTCCTTCTATTTTCACCAAGAGAAAACACAAGGACCAAAGCCACAACCGGACACCTATTCTGTCACAGTTCTGAGAGGTCACAACAGGGTTTCTTTCTCTATGAGAAAAGGGTTTTTAAAACATTGTCATTTGCTCATGTTAACACTTTTTATGGTCTAAGATTTTCAAGAGGAAAAGTGTGAGGAATACAGGTGTTACAGTTATAGCCCAGTCAAAAAAGCTAGCAACTGGATTTCAGAAATGCATGACCTACATTCATCAAAACTTGCCCCTGGTATTAAGAAAACTAAAGGAAAGATAAGGAGGGGGCTGCGTGCCCTGAGACCCCGGCCAGGGCCCACCTGCCTGGTACAGACCCTCACACTGCAGACAGCCCCATGGTGCTGAGCCCTGGCAGCCAGCCTGAGGGGCGGCGATCTTACCTGCACAGGTTTATTGTACCGAGACTCTCCCTGGCATCACACACCTTTAAATGGAGCCAGGTTTTAATTATATGTATAAAGAATAAATATATATAACAAAACAGGGAAGAAGGAAATCAGTATAAAACCACGGGCAACACACCGAATTCTGATCATCACCAAGAGCGCAGCCTCAACACCCAGCTTTCAAAGTTGTTTTAAGATTTGACATGTGGGGCTTACACATGTGCTTGGGCGCCGTCTAACTGAGTGCTGTCCTCAGCGCCACCCTTCCCTGCTCAGGAACTCAGACAGTCTTCTTTGGTCTTAAAGTGTGAGACTGTAGCTGGTCAAGAAGTCCTTGGCCATTTCTTAAAGAGGTCCCATGGTGTCTAGTTGATGTTTCATGTCACCGATTGGACCCTATAATTCTTGATTTTTCATCAGGTCTGATTTTTATACCTGCCCAGCCTCAGTGAACCCTTTTAATAAACTGTAAAGTGTTACTTGTGATCCTTCAACTCACTTGAATGGATGTCCTTCTTCTGACTTCTGCACAGCTTGGATGACAGACCTGTAGACCCTGAAGCTGATGGTGACAGAGAGAAGAGCCAGGATGAGGTAAGAAACCACACTGATGACACTGAAAGCTGCCAGGGAAAGCAGCACGATCAGCGTGGTGCCGAAGACAAACCCAGTCTTCTTCACATCTCGCCAGAAGATCAGATCGTGCACTGCGAAAGAAAGGGACGCAAGTTACACGGACACCCCGAGCCACTGGCCAGGACGGTCCTCTGGCTGTGTCCTGCACGCCTGAGAAGCCGGGACTAGCATTCAATTACAGGTGCCCCCTCCCTCAGAGACTCTGATAGGTGAAAATCACATATGTCAGGGGTGATGATTCACACTACAAAAGGTTCCTCTAGTTTCTGGGCAGGTTTATAAAAATGTAGGAACTTATTTTTTAGAGGTGGCTCTTGAAGTACAATGGGGTAAAGTATCATTTACTTCAAATGTTTCAGCAGAAAGGATGGTAGAGCAAGTGTGGTAAAATCTTGATAACTGTTGACTAAATTAAACAAACGGTAACTACAGTTAAATTGGGTCAACAAGCTATAAAACCAAAGCTAAAATGAAATTTATAAATTGGGCTGGGGGCAGAGAGAGTGGTGAATAAAAATATATCAAGCTCTAATAGTGTTAGTTAAAATTAAACACCAGTCTCTGTTCATCTGAAGAGTACTCAGGAAGGATTATGGGTATGGGACCATATAATTATCTAAAAAACAATACTTTTGAGAGTAAGTGGGGCTACTAATACTAACTGTTAGGAAATGGGTATAATAAACCAAGGCTGTCCCAAGCAAGTGGGTCTTGTGGTCGGGGACATCCGCACTGAAGAGACCTCAAAAACCCTGCTGTCCACTGCTGGCAATTACCTCCAATCTAGCAATGACACTACACTGGAATGGCAATCTGCGAGGGCTGACCGCAACATTAATGACTCTATTTCAAGTTTCCTCTGTGCTACTCTTTGCTTATACAAAAAAGAGTAAGGGCTTTGGAGTTGGAGAAACATGAGTATGAGTCCTGGTAATTTTTAGTCATATTACCCTATTAACCTTTCTAAACCTTTGTTTTCTCATCTATAAAGTGAAGAAAGTGACACCTATGTCCACGTTGTTTTAAGGAATATATGTGGCTAATGCATGTAGAAAGCGTAGCATTGTAAATGACACACAGTAACCACTCAAATGTGAACTATAATTAAAATATGGAATTCTGTGATTGGGGGTAAAGTGAACTTGAACCTGATTCCAGCTGACCCACTAGCACTTAGTTCTTCCCCATAGTCAGCTTCAATACTCTTCTCTGAAGCCTAACCTTAGCTAGAGCCAAGGGAACCTAACGTGAAACGAAGAAAACACTAAGATAAACTTATTGTCTAGAAGAAATAATCACTGGTTCCAAGATTCCGGTTAAGGGATGTGACTACTAGGAGAAAGTAGGGATTAGGATCGCTGAGGGGAGGTCGAGAGTCCCAGACAGCGATGTTGCAAAGGAGAGAGAGAAATGGGAGGCAACTCAGGCTCACTTGACTGAGCAGGAAAGCTGAACAGAATGCTACCTACTTATGAGAGCAATTCCCATAACCAGAGTCCAAGTATATGCATGTCACTTTTCATATATCTATCTACAGGAAGAGTTTCAGCACAGAACGCTTAGCGATGGAACACACTGATACCATGTGCCTCCTGATGTAATGTACTGAGAAGGACACATCACTTGTATGGTATTCTTGCCAAAAACATAAAAACTGAATCTAATGAGAAAACACTAGACAAACACAGACTGAGAATTAGTCTACAAAACAGCTGGCCTGTATTCTTCAAAAATGTCAATGGTGTGAAAGACAGGAGACTTGACAACACATAAATGCGAAGTGAGATCACAGACTGGACACTGGATACCAGGGTAAAATAGCTATAAAGAACATCATGGGGACAATTGACAAAATTGGGATGTGAACTATATAACTGATAAAAGTACTGTGTCAGTGTTAAATTTCTTACATTTGATAAAAATTTAGTGTACTATAAAACAAAAAAATTTATCATTCAAAAGAAACACACTCCAAAGTATTTAGGGCAGTTGTTCCCAACCTTTTTTTGGCCACGCCCCACCTAAGCATCTCTAAAATCCTGATGCCTCCTTGTGACATACAACTCCTGCTCTGACCGGTTTGGCTCAGTGGATAGAGCGTCGGCCTGTGGACTGAAGGGTCCCAGGTTCGATTCTGGTCAAGGGCATGTACCTTGGTTGCGGGCACATCCCCAGTAGGGGGTATGCAGGAGGCAGCTGATCGATGTTTCTCTCTCATCAATGTTTCTGACTCTCTATCCCTCTCCCTTCCTCTCTGTAAAAAATCAATAAAATATATTTTTTAAAAAAGAGTATACTCCTAATCATGGAGGAAGAATAAAAGGCCATTAACTTGGTCTAAACAAGCTTCCCAAGAACATGGCATCCATGAAAGAGAAAAATAAAAGAACAAAAGGACAGCTGAAGTACTGAGGAAGAAATCACTAAGAAATTGTTTAAAAAATAATATAAAAAATAGCAAATAAAGTTTCAAAACATATAATAGAGAACTGAAATGCATAAATGTCACAAAAAATTCACTATTAATAACTAATTCTCAAATTGCTCCCCTTAAAAGTCAAATTGCCCCCTGTGGGGCATGTGCTCCATGTTGGGAACCACTGATTTACAAATAAAGGGCCAGGATTTTTGCAACTAGCTCTTAAATGGTCAGGAAAAACCCTGAATCTATAGAGAAGAGGGAGGGAGGGAGTGATAAAGCAAAAGTGACTACATGTTAACATTGGTGAACTAGACCAAGGGTTATATGGGAGTTTTTTTGTACTATGCATGTTAGTCTTTAAATTTGAAATATTTGAAAGAATAAGAAAAAGAAACTCTTAGAGAATAAGGCTGGGCCCCAGAGAGTAAAAGACCATGCTGTATCAGAGAAGGGAAAAGCGACAGTCTCTAAAGGCAAATAAATCTACTTTTGTGCAAATCAGAAAAACCACCCTATCCTCATGACTTCACTGCCATCTGCTGGAAAACTGTCATAAGGTAAACGCAAACCTACAATGGTTAACACATGTGAATGGTGCCCCCTAGAGGTGTGCAGTACACAACTTGGATGACATGTATATAGTGAGGGAAGGGGAGAGTGGCATGAGATGATGCTGGAGCTGAGGGAGGGGCTAGATCATGGAGCACTTTCATAGAGCAAGGTAAAGGCCTTGGATTTTACCTCAGATGAAATGCGAAGTCACTACAGACTGTCAAGCAGGGGGATAACATGATATATTTTAACAAGAGAAACCCTTTTACTGCTGCAAAGAGAAAATGGATTGCGATGGGGCAGGTGTGAAAACAGAAAGGTTCCCTAGGAGGCTAACTTGAAGGTTCAAGTGAGAGATGATGGTCATTTAGATAAGGATGGAGATGAGTGGACAGATTTGAGCTGTATTTTTGAGGTAGAACAGGCAGAACTTGATGGACTGGATGCAGAAGGTGATGAAATATGAATGACACCTAGGTTTGGGGCCTGAGAAATGGATGGATGTGGTGTCATTTATGGAGAAGAGGAAGAGTAGAGTACAGAGTATGTTAACTTTGGGATGGATGCCTAGAGGTATCCATTATTAAAGAGGCGGTTAGATCCACCAGTGTGGGGTACACAGGGCAAGTCTGAACTAGCGATACGAAATGGATGAGGTTACCGAGTACTGATAGGGAAGAAGGGCCAATTCTGAGGCCCATTCATAGACCTGAAGATTGGAAGAGGGACTTCTTTCTGAATGCTTCTATTTTCTCAATAAGAAAGAGCTGAGATCACTAGCTGGGTGGGGTCAGGGGAGCAAAGAAGGTTTACAGAGAGAGGAAAAGATATAAAATGGTTATTTCAGAAAAGTGAGAAAGTGTCCTAAAGCTCTTAGAAAACACAGTATATCTATGTGACCTTTGGCAATGGCTTCTCAGATATGATACCAAAAGCACAAATGACCAAAAACAAAACAAAACAAAAGATAAACTGGACTATATCAAAATTAAAAACCTCTGTGCTGTAAATGGTACCAAGAAAGTGACAAGATACTCATAAAATAACAGTATATTTGCAAATTAGATATCTGGTAAAGTATTTGTATCTAGATATATAAAGAATTATATGTAACTAATTAGTCCAATTGAAAATGACCAAAGGATCTGAAGAGATATTTCTCCAAAGATATACAAATGGCCAATAAGTACATTAAAGATGCTCAACATCATCAGTCATTAGGGAAATGCAAATCAATACCACACTGAACCCACTTGGATGGCTATAATAAAGAATTACAATAACAAATATTGGCAAGAATGTGGTGAAACTGGAGCCTACCTTCCTACTGGGAATGAAAAATGGTGCAGCCACTTTGGATAACAATTTGACAGCTCCTCAAAGAGTTAGACATAGTTATTATATGACCCAGCAATTCCACTCTTAGGCAAATGCCCAAGAGAAACGAAAACATATGACACAAAAAATTGCACACACCAATGTTTATAGAAACATTATTCATAACAGCCCCAAAGTGGAAACAATCCAAACACCAACAACTGATGAATGCACAATAAAGGGTAATATATCCATACAACGGGATTATTATTTGGCAATAAAAAGGAATGAAGTTCTGATGCTACAAAGCTTGAAGACATTAGGCTAAAAAAGCCAATTACAGAAGCCACATGTTATATGATTTTATTTATATAAAAAATCAGGAATAAGCATATAGGAGGCAGCCAATCAATGATTCTCTCTCATCATTGATGTTTCTATCTCTCTCTCCCTCTCCCTTTCACTCTGAAATCAATACAAATATATTTTTTTAAAAAAAGAAAAGAAATGGATAAACTGGGCTCTGGCTAGTGTGGCCAGTTGTAGCACTGTCCTGTACACTGAGAGGTGGCAGGTTTGATTCCCAGTTAGGGCACGTATCTAGGTTGCTGGTTTGATCCTGGTCGGGGCACATACAGCAGGCAAGCAATTGATGTTTCTCTCTCACATGGATGTTTCTCTCTCTCTCTCCCCCTCACTCTAAAATCAATTTAAAAAAAAAGCATATTGTCAGGTGAGGAAAAAATAAATAAAAGAAAAAGCAAGATTGGTTTAACATTC